CCCCCCCCCGGGCCTCGAAGACAGATCCTCCTGCGGAAAGGGAGTCGGCTGGCGGGGGGGGCTCTTCCTCATTCGCAGGGTGCTCTCTGTCCCCCCCCAGGCCCCCCCCCCTGCCCGGGGTACTGGGGGGGCCGGACCCGCCCCCCCCCCGTGTGTACCAGGGTCTCCTCCTCCTCCCCCTTGAGAGGCCTGGCCTGCCTCAAAAGATGGCCGCCTTTCCTGGCCTCTGACGGGACTTCCTGGGCTTTTCCCAGCCTTCGCAATGAGCCAGCGCTTCCTCAAGGGCTCTGAGCCAGGGAAGGCGGTTCACCCCTCACACCCACCACAAAATAACTTCCACTTCCACAAAACAACACGAAACAAACAAACAACAAACTTTCAAGGCACAAGGATGCCTCCTGGAACACACTCATCTGATTGAAAACACCCATCACAATTGTCTCCCATAAAGAAAGGAAATTGGCCTCCGGGGCCTCCTTCCTCACAAAGGCTGGAAAGTGTAGAGAGCGGGTTTCCCTTCGAAAGTTTCTAGGCACACAAACACAGGAGCACGCACACACACACACACATACACACACACAGAGCAGGAAAAACACAGTGCTTGGTAAAAATATCGACCCTCTGCCTTTCCCCTGAAAACCGCTGCGGGTGGGCAATACGGTCAGTGCCCGGCCTACACAAAGCGGGTCCTGGGCCAGTCAGCCCAGGTGTGTTCCTCCACAGCTGGGAGGGACCTCACCTGAACCGCCTTGGGGTTGTGGAAGAGAGCAGCCGAGGGAACCCCTCGCCCCACCTGCCAGCAAAGCCGGGGCCAGGGCGGAAGGGTGGCTCTCTTTCGCCAGGGGGCTCTCCTCCTTCTGTGTGTGTGGGGGTGGTGGATTTGGGCTGCTGGAGGGCTCCCTCTCAGGGCAGTCTATCTGACCCACTTCAACGCTTCCTGGGCCGCCCCCTCGGGAAGGGAGAGTGGTGCTTCTTCTGGAGGAGGAAGGAAGACCAGCTGAGCCTGCCCAGCCCCTTACCTGCTCGGCTGAAATTCGGAGGCGAAGCGCAAAGAGGCGTGGTGCGGCCATAGCCCAGCGAACTGGTGGAACTGGGGCTGGAAATCCGGCACGGCCTGAGGGGCTGGTCCTCCTGGTCACCCCCCTGTGAAGAGGACAGGGAAGGGGGGCCGTTTTTATGCCACCGGGAGAGAAAAAGGGACCCTGGCAGCCAGCAGCAGCTGCCCTGCACTCGTGGGACTATTTCCCCCAGGCGCCTGTTCGGTCTACGCGAGCCAGGGAGCCCCCTCCCCGATGGCCCTGGTGGAATGTCTGCTGACAGGGATGGAGGGCGGGGGGAGATCGACTCCTTGGACCAAGAAGACAAAGTGAGAAGGCCCAGGAGCAGCACCTCAGGCCTGAAAATGTCAGGAGACAGTCAGGCAGAAAACAGAGGAAAAAAAGGAAGCAGCCTCTCCAAGTGAACGGTGCCAAATAGGCCTCATCCACCCACGGTCCAAACAACAGAATAACAGAGTTGGAAGGGACCCTGGAGGTCTTCTAGCCAACCCCCTGCAGGAGGCCCGGCCAAGATCATTCCGGACAAATGGCTGTCCGATCTCCTCTTCAAAACTTCCAGGGTGGGAGCACCCACAACTCCTGGAGTCAAGAACCTGTCAGGAAATTCCTCCTCCTTCCTGTTCCGTTGCTCGGTCGGTTTTATCTCAGCCCTCTCTGCTCAGCCTGGGGAAGGTTTTACCCCCAGCCTCAGGGGTGTCGAAGGCGACACCGTGAAGGACTCAGAAATGCAAGTATCGTCAGAATGAAAGAGTCCAATAAACTGAATTGGACAGAAGAGACCGAGAGACAATTCGCAAACCCTGGATTTAGAACCTTCTCTTCTCCGAGCCTTAAAAATAAGCCGAAGATGGAACCGTCTCCAAATGTGCAGAAGCAACTGTGCAGCCTCGACCAGCGCTTTTCGCTGCTGCCAAAAAGCCAAACTCAGAATACTAGCTGACTTTCCTTCAAGCTGAACGCAGGATCCAGGTTAAGAGCACTCCTTTGATGTAAAGGCCCCAAGGACAAACCGCCCAACCTCGGAGAGCGAAACGCCATCCACACAAGGACAACAGCCTCTGGATTTCAGTGCTCCAGCAGTCCTGGGGTGGCAGTGAGAGGGAGGAGAAATGAAACGAAGGGAATGCTAGGCTGGGCAGGTTTTTGGATCACCAGATGATCATTTCTTCCCTGCAACGGATTTGGGAGGTTCTTTGAACACTTAAATATGAGCCAGCAGAGTGAGGCAGTCACCAAAAAAGCCAATACAATCCTGGGTTCATTACCAGAGTGATAGGATCCAGATCACGTGACGTTCTAGTACCGCTCCATAAAGCCACACTTGGAATCCTGCACCCAGTTTTGGTCCCCATATTATAAAAAGAGGTTGAGACTCTAGAAAGAGCGCAGAGAAGAGCAACGAAGGTAATTAGGAGGCTGGGGGTTGAACCATACAAAGAATGGTTAGAGGAGTTGGGTATAGTGTCTAATCTAGTGAAGAGGAGGACCAGGGTGATAGGATAGCAGTCTTCCAATATGTGAGGGGCTGCCCCAGAGAAGAGGAGGGGGTCCACCTATTCTCCAAAGCCCCTGAAAGCAGGACAAGAAGCAACGGAGGGAAACTCTTCAAGCAACCTGGAATTAAGGAGGAATTTCCTAACAGGGAGGACAATTAACCCCAGTGGAAGCGAAGTTGTCTCCAGAAGTTGTGGTTTCTCCATCACTGGAGTTTTTCAAGAAGAGACTGGACAGGAGGGGGTCTAGGGTCTCCTACTTGAGCAGGGGGTTGGACTAGAAGACCTCCAAGGTCCCTTCCAACTCTGCTATTCTGATCCACTGGCTTCTTAGACGAAGCCAGTCTTCCTCATACGTCCAGGCAGAAGCTAGACAATGGAGCCCTGAGGATGTCTTCCTAGGGATGATTGTAGCACTGAGCAGGAGGCTGGATTCCACGGCCACGATGGCTGTCCAACCTCAACATTTTGTGAGTTTACATAGGAAAGGAACGTGACAGGTAGGCCTGACTGTGGCGTGACGGACAGGGCTTTGCCCAGAACCTGAGTGTTCACCTGCCCCAGGAAAGAGCGTGAACACCTGAGCAGGAGAGGACACCGAAGCTGGAGCCCCAGGGCAACGGTGACTTCTCCAGCTCCGCAGAGACAGGCAGTACCTCGGCGTAGCCGGGCCGGTCGCTGACCGAGTGGCTGATGTAGGGGGAGTAGGAGATCATGTCTGGCCGGTCGATGTTGTAGATGGCCTTGTTCTTAGGGAGGGCAGCCAAGTCTCGGTAGTCAAGGATTTCCTCCCCGAGTTTCGCCTGCAATGAGAAGAAGGAAAAGCGGAAGGGAAACAGCTTCCTTGAAGAAGTGCTCATCACCATCATCATCATATCCTCCTGACTCCATACAATGGATGATCCCCCAGAGATTTTAGAGAACTTACAAAGTGAAATTGTTGAATTAACAAGAGAAAAGAAAATGCAACTTCTCCCTAAAATGGCATCTATTCCTAAGAAGAGGGAAATAGCTAATTGTAGCTTCCGTTTTAAAAAGGAATTGCAGGGCCTTACTGGAAATTATCACCAGCTTGCTTGAGATCCTTTCCAGCCCAAATGGTGGGAAATGCGATGAAAGAAGCCAAATGCGGAAGGGCGGCCCTTCAGGTGGTGCTATCAGCCACGCACCAGGCCAGAAACCGAAGGCCAGCAGGATGGGCTTCATTGCGACGGGCTCTAAGGAGAGAGTCTCACAAGCGGTATGACGCTGTGCCTTCCTCCTCCTTCTCCTCCTCATGGCCCAGTGAACGAGGGAGGCAGTTGCCTGAGCTACTTCCTGGCTCTTGAAGGATGGAGAAAGGTTGCCAAGGATGCTCCCCTGGCAGTCCAAGGGGTCCCTCACCCAACCACAGGCTCCCCCGTTTGCAGTCCTTCTCTGAATCGAGGCCATCTGAGGGGACCGAGAGGGTCGGCCTGGCCGGCCTCCAATGCACAGCGGACTCAGAGACTGTCGGCCGCCAGGAGGACAATGAGACCCGGGGCAGGGGAGGGGAGGGTGACGGCGGTATCCTCGCCAGGGTAGGCGTGAGGCCTGTTTGCATCCCCCGCTGCTTCTTGTTGCTCTGGTGTTAACTATCATTGTTCCTTCTGCTCTTTTCCTTTTCTTGTTCCAGCCAGAACCGCAACTATCCTGAGTTCTTAGTCACACAAGTCTCTTAATAAATACAAATCCTCCAGCCCACAAAACCCAGATGCTCCTTCCGGAGAACTGCACCAGGTAATGACAACCTCTTACAAATAAGTGGCCATCAGAATCATATTCTGAACAATTCTACTTTCCCATTTATTTTAGCATTTCACCATGGATACATACATAGATTATTCGACTTGGGGAGCATGATGTACTTGAAGGGGGCACCGAAATTATGCTTTCAGACGATGTTCGGGTTTCCTGCAACTGAAAACAAATACAGATATGAATTTCCTTACACGTTTATTCTTGGAAAATATTTTAAAAGCCTCTTGCTTACAGATAAAATTTCCCCTAAAATTAGCAGGCAAAAGCTCAATTACTTCAAAACTGGGATTTTTGTAACCAACTGGTTTTATAATCCACTATTTCTCGTTAAGAGCAACATGAGGAAAATAAGAATTTCACCCCTTCCCTGCCCGACTTCACTTCTGTTTTTATTTCTCAAGTCCAGGATCACACAGGGAGCAAAGGAGGAGAGCTGCATCACTGGACCTATGAAGCCAAAAATCAAAAAAGAAATGTGAAAAAGTTCTCCATCCTGAGGGAAAAGGCTTCCAGGCCCAATGCCAACATGCCGCCACGGTCCGTTTGCTGATTCTGGGCTCCAGGAGTCCCTGGGAGAGGCCCAAAGCGGCTTTTCCAAAAGGCAACTGAACTTTTTTTTTTCTTTGAAAATGTTTCCCTTCTAATCCATAAAGCTTCTTCACTTCAGAACTAAAGAAGCTCCTTGGATGAGAAACGAAACGCTTTCGAAGGGGGAAAAAAAACCCCAAGAAAGCCCAGGTGCCTTTGGGGAAAACCTCCGAGACACAGTCCCCGGTGCCCTTCATCTCCTGGAGCCTGGCCTTCCCTTCTCTTTCCCAACTCCTGCGTTTTATTCAAAGGGAGACTTATAATATGCCTACAGATAAGCCGCACTTAGTCAGAAAAGGCGCTGGCAGGCGACTCCTAGCTTCTCACCAGCACGAGAGCCACTGGGCCCCCCCTCTTGTCTCCAAATCCATCAAAGGAACATTTTTCCCTCTCATCATTATCTCATCTGCAGAGTTGCACAACTTCCTCTGACTAGTTGGATGTGGTCTTAGAAACGAGGCTGCCGCCCTGGGAGACCAGACAGGAAGCCATGAGACGAGCTGATTCGACTCCACCGCAAGGCCAGAGGGACAGAATCTGGCACGTCAGACGTCCTGTCACCATTTTTAACTTCCCGATGCATGAAGGCAGGTCCTTCCCAAGTTTCTTCCTCTGACCTTTGTTTTGACTGTTTCCTAGGCAGCAAATCTTTCCCTCGTCTTCCAAGGTCATCAGCCTCACGTCCCCTTAACAAAACGCCCCCACCCTCCATTTCCTTGTCTAAATCCGTAATTGCCTTTCTCTCGTTTGACCAGCTCTCTGCCCATCTGTTCCTGCACGGAAAAAAGCCACCCCCCCCATTCACTCCTGTGTCCCAGTCTGGGCGCAGAGGCTGCCCCCTTTCTTCTTAACATTTCATGGCCTGCTGAGTCCCCCTCCTTCTTCCCCTCTGGGGGGCGCTCTTCCCCTTTGCCTCCCGAGGGGCATCTGTCCAGTGGTTGGGGAGGATGGGCTCCGGTTTCCCTTCCACCTGCCACTCCTTCCAAATACGCCTTGGCTGTGCCGGTGGGAGAGGGGAGGGGACGAGGCCCATCCTGGGTACAAAGTGAGGTCTGTCTTGAGGGTTTAACTCGGTTTATGCCAGTTACGGTCACAACATGCCAAAGGAAGAGAGAGAGAGAAGGGAGGCGTGTCTTCTGGGTAAAATACGTCTTTAAAGCCATGTTTTCTTTTTTAGAAAAGAGGAAATTAACAGTCTTCCTAGGGAAGTCCTATTTCTCTTGCTGGGTCAGAATTCGATGGCTGATCCTGAACATGGCAGAGCCAAATCCAGTCCCCGCCAGCCACGTGTGTAGCTCCCACCCCTAGTGGGATGCCCACTAAGCCCACAGCCGCAGAACACACCCGTTGGTAGCATCTCTGCAGAAAGGGCCGTGGAGCGGGACTCGGAGACGCCAGGGCACTCCAGGTGCAGGAGGGGGACCGCAATGGGCAAAGGGTCCCAGAGAGCCAGCAGGGAGGCTCAGGGCCTCCAACCGCTTCCCCACACGGGAGCAGAGCGGCCTGAAAAGGGCCCCCTGAGCAGGGAGGCCGAGGCCACTGGCTGCTCAGGGGCCCTCCAGGGAAGGCCTCGCTCGGGGCTGCCTGACTCTGGGGTGGCCTCCCAAGAGCTCCACAAGCTCCCCCAGAGGAAGGGAGGGAGGGTGGGATGCAGGGACTGGCGGACGCAGGGGGCCTCCGCCAGTCCAACCGGAGGAAGCATTTTTGGGCCCAGCAGGAGGAAGGCCTGGCTCCCCACGGCCTTCGCAGAGCAGCTGCGTTTGGGGCAATGGGAAGGGGCCCGAATGGCACGTCTATGGGGGGCAATGCAGACCACGGTTGGGCCTCCAAAGAGGCCCAGTTGCAGAGCAACCCAGTTTAGCCTCCGTGCAACAGTTGGGGAAACACCTTGAATGGCTCCGGAAAGGGGGGAAAAAGCACCCCGGCTTGAGAGGGGTGAGTTCTGGGGACGGCAGCCCCAGAAGTGGAGCCTGGAGATCCCCGGGAGGCTTCTCGGTGGCTTCCTTGGAAGGAAACGGAACGATTTGCACCAGGGAGGGTGTCCTTTTAAGCTCCCAGCCAACGGCTGTGGGATTCCCGGGTCGCCAGGAAGAAGCGCCTGGATGCTGTGAAAGTGCTCTGACAAAGCCACCCGGCAGGACACGGAAGGGAAGGGAAGCACTTCACAGGCATGTCTCACCTTGGCCTTTTCTTCCACTTTGGCTGCCTGTCTACAAGCTGGGTGCCAAATAGAAGACCCTGAAAACAGAGAGAGTCCCGGTCAGTCCTTGGTCCAAGTTTTTTCTGCATACAGTTTTTGTTCTGCATACAGATGACAAACTAACCTCCTTACTGGAAGGTTGTGCCCGGCCATTTATGAAGGAGGGCCACCCTCTTTGGGACACCACCTCTGCAAGCATCCCCACAGCCTTCCCTCCAACTCCTGGCTGGGCCTGACCCTCCAGCACTCGCACAGATGCTGCCATCTAGCTGGGCAGCCAGGAATAACATGGGGACTGTTTCATTTATTGGGAGTGAGGCTACACACAAGCTGCTAAGTGAAGTCCAGAGGAAAGGGTGATGTGTCTCCATGCGTGACTTAAGAATTATCTGCGTGGTTCCAAGTCTGGACCCTTTTAATATTACTGTAGCCGAGAACACAAAGGCTCCTGGGGTGTGAGGAAGCCAGCAGCAGCAGCCACTGTATAGAAATGGGATGGGACAGGTCAACAGGTGGGGGGGGGGGGCAATCATGGTCTGTGTATCCAATATTTTTTTGTTTTTCCCTCCATCCTCCAGGTGAATTATCCAAGCGGAAGTTCTGTCTGGCGTTGCCTGCTGAATGGAAACCTTGCAACCCGGCTCTTCTTCCTGCTGAAGGGGCCCTTCGGGCTCAGGGCCGGCTGTTTGCAGCTGTTCTGGCCACCCCAGAAACGGACACCTCCTTTTTGCTGCTGGGATTGTTGAAACAGCCCCCCATTTCTCAAGGGGGCTTTTTGCAAAGGGCAACTGGGCTAAGTGTTTTTCCTTGAGGAAGAAGACATTTTGCTTCTTATTCAAGAAGCTTCATCAGTTCTGAAGCTTCATCAGTCAGAACTGGTGAAGCTTTGTGGATAAAAAGCAAAATGTCTTCTTCCTCAAGGAAAAAAACTTAGTCCAGTTGCCCTTTTGAGACAACCATGGCCCGGCTGACTGAGAACCACCACCGACATTTAGCCTCAAACACAGATCAGTTCCACTCTCAGGGTTGGGATATTTGGGTTGGAAGCACCTGCCCACCCCAAACACTGGCAATTCACAGGCCCCTCTGCCTGGCCGGTTGGTTTACCTTGAAGGTACATCTCTTCTCCTTCGGCGAACATCTGGTGGCACTTATCACAGCAGGCACACGTGGGGTGGTAGTGCTTTTCTCCAGCCTGGGGAGGGGCGAGGGGGAGGAATGAGGGAGGACCTTATCAGAGAGGGCCCGATCCCTTCCTGTCCCCTGAAAGGCCAGGCCAGTTGCATTAGAAGAGCTGACTCAAAAGGAAGACGTAAAACTGCTCCCACAGGGCTTCAGGGAAGAGGCAGCTTAAAAGTACGTTAGAAGATTGAAAAGAATCCCCGTTCACTTCACAGCCTTCCTTTACAAAAGAAAATCAAGAGGCCGTAACAAGAAATTTATCCAACATGTAAAACAACATGCTTTGCTGCCTTTTGAAACGATGCTTTTCTTTCTTCTCCTCCCCCCTGCCTCTCCTGGAAGGGCTTCCTAAGGCCCCTGAGGACCTCCTGGAGCAGGTGTGCCTGGCCAAGGCCTTTCCACAGCGTGCCCAGTTGCTTCCATCGGTTGCAATAACCCTTCTGCCCGAGATTTATCCCCCGGCTTTAAATAGCAGGCTGAATTTAGCCTGAGCCTTAGAGAGGCCCCCTCGGTCTGCCAAGGGTTGCTGGGGCTGAAACAGCCTCCCTCCCAGGGCTAAAAGCCGCAGGGGGATACATGAAATCACCCAACCCGGGTTGGGGGCATTTCCTTTCCAGGGTGGGGAGCCTGCTGCTGCCATGACCAGGTGCCACTTTTCAAGGTCTGTCTCGTCTCCAATTCTCTGCTCCAAGTTTTAAAAAAATGGGTTTTTCAAGTTCTATCCTGGATTTAAAAAGTGAGAAAAATGAGTGTGTGTACAGTGTGTGTGTGGAAGTCCCGGGCGAGGGAAGCCCCGTCCCTGGGCCCTCTTCCATTGCTCGCCTCCCTTGAAGCCCTGCAGGGTCCAAGGAGGAGGCCTGGCAGGAGAAGGAAGAGCAAGAGGACGATCCGAATCAAGGCGCCCTGGATTCCCTTCCCATCTTTAACGGATGCTGGACAGAACTTCTGGTGCTGTGATGGAGTGTGGACTGGATTCCCAGGAGGGAGGGGCTGCCTCCCAGCAGCAGCGGAGCTCGGACACTTTGGATGGCAGGAAGAGCATGAAAAAGGCTCCTTCCCTCTAGCAAGACTCTGTCTGCAGGCAGAGAACCAGAAGGGGAGCGACTCCAAAGGAACTTCCTGGGCCGTTCCTGCCGCCTGCCAGGCACCTCCCGAGTCACGGCCTGCCCCGAGGGGCCTTCCTCCTTCCAGCCTCGCCTTACCTCCAAAACTCTCCCCGTGATAAACTTCCCACAACGGTCGCACTGGATCCCAAACGTCGCATGATAGTCTCTTTCGCAATAGGGAACGCCATCCCTGCAGGCAAGGAAGGACAACCTGCCTCAAGGCCGGCTCTCCGGACAGGCAGACCCCCACCGGGGGCAGAGTCAGAAGAAGAACACCCCCCCCCCCTTGCATCCTTCCAGCGCAGACGGGTCCAAGGGCGACGGAAGACGATGCCTCACCTAACGGATACCTGGTAAACCCAAAACTTTCTGGGCTTTCAGGCCCCCACTGTCTTCCTCTCACCCCGCTACTCCCCTGGGTCTTTGAAGCGCCGTCCCTGTGGAGGCAGAGCGGTTCCCAAGGAGGCTGGACTTTCCCTTCCGGAAGGCTGCAGCTCCGTTTTCCAAAGGAGTCCTAGACTCTCTGGGTTCTGGTTCCCCCCGCAGGACCAACCGATTGCCCCGTCCCGTCCTCCCCCTACTCCAGCTCCCATGCTCCAGCCCCCTCCCTGCTGTGGGATCCAGAGGGACGGCCTCTGCCCTCCACCCACCGCCTAGGACCATGTGGGGAAGCACCGGGCAGGGTTTGGTGTCCGTAGCCTTGCGGCCCTTTAGAGGAGCGGCCGGCCACCTTCCCAATCCACCTTCCCCCCAGGTGACCTACTTGCTGATGTATTCCCCCGTGAGCAGCTTGCCACAAATCTTGCACTTAAAGCAGGTCAGGTGCCAATGCTTGTCCAAGGCCACCAGAGACTGGCCGTTCTTAATGTCGGAGCCGCAGTTCCCGCAACCTGCAACGACAAGGACAAACCCCCGGAAGCTGCACCTGCGCCTCCCCTCTAGCCTTTGGGGACCAGCCAGGACCGGCCAGGCAGCCCCACAGCTGGACCATTAAGAGCCCCCTTGGCAAAACCTGTAGGTTGCCTGTGAGCACAACCGGAACTGCAATTTCAGGCCCACCGGGAGGCTTCAGGGTTGCCCTCATTGCAGCCAATAAGCTAACCATATTGGCCATTAAGCACATGGTCATTAACTCAACCCAGCTTTCCTAATTGGCATTGCCTGTTGGATAACTTGCTGGGAAGGTTGCTAATCTCGATCACGTGACTGCATGGAAGGTGCAATCTGCCGCAGCCTTGGAGACAGGCCATAAATCAGCCCCTCTGGCCATTGGGACTGTGAACCACCATTAAACCAAAGGTCCTAAGCTGACCACCCACCCCGACCACTCTGCTCAGCCAGGGATCTGCCCGGGGTTCAGCCAAGCCACTTCGTAGCCCCAAGGGAATGCATGCATTGTGTGTCTGAAACTGCCCTTGTGGCCCAACAGTAGCCACACCCAATGGGGCAGGGGCCAACTGAGCCACAAGGGGAGGAGGGGGAGGGCTGCCCCATGTCCTGTGGGCCTCTCTGGAGGGGGGGTCTTCAGCTCAAAGAGGCAGGCTGGGTGGGGGTCCCCGGGCAGGCACCAGCAGGCACCACTTCCTGCCCATCCACAGGCTGAAAAGTTGCTCCGCGCATCGTTTGCTTAACCTCCACCAGGGGGGCTGCGGACGAGGCAAACGCCCAGAGAGGATATTTCCCTTCGGCTGCTAAAAATAGCCGCTTCTCAGTGGATCTCAAAAACTGGGACTTACTTCGGAGGACTGGACAACCAGCACCAGCAGGGGGCAGAGAACATTTCTGGCAGACGCACTCCTTCCCATTGAAAGTCACCCGGTCCCCGGGAGGAAACGGCTGCCTGCAGGAGGAGGCAGGAGCGGCATCACTAAGGGGGCCTCCTGGCCCCCTTTCCCCCCCCCCCCCCGCCCCTCTTCAGGAGCTTCTTCCCCCCTCCCCCACCCAGGGAAATCCTCTGCAAAGGGGACCCTTTTCCCTCCAGGGACCCTTTCCTTCAGGCCCTTTCTTGGACACCCAAAGGATTCCTCCTTGCAGCCGCCCTTCAGATCAGACCAACATTTGAGCATCTTTGCAGACACACCCACCCACCGAAGGGCCGACGTTCCCTTTCGGAAGGTGCACACTTGGCACATCAGCTGGGAGGAGAGAGAGCTACCAATGGCCCTTCGTTGAGAATCTAAACATGGGCTGACCGCCTCCTGCTTAGCACCCACTTTCTCCAGAACTCTTCCCCCCCCCCCATCTTATCCAAAGCAGGGATGGGGAACCACACAAGAAATCCACCCCACTCCCACCCACCCCCGCCCCAAAAGTGGCCTGGAGGACTGACACCCATCAGTCACAGGTGGGAAAGCAAAGCTTCTCCTCCTCTGAGGAGCTCTGTACGGCTGGGGCCAAGTGGACACATTTTCAGAGGAGGAAGAGAAAGAGAGAGAGAGAAAAAAGGGAGCATCTCAAAAGCTGACAAACAAGAGCAGAAAAAAAGTTTCAGGCGAAGATCACCGAGACCTTCAGACCTGTGGCAACCTGGGAGGAAGAAGGGCAAGCGATCCAGAGAGAGAGTCTCTGTCCTGGTCTCTGCCCAACCCCTTCTGCCCCCTCCCCTCTTTTTCTCCTGGCCGCTGCAGGGGATCGATGGCTTGACAAGGAGGCCCGGGGCTTCTGGGCTGGCTCTTTCCCTTCTTCTAGTGGGGGTGGGGGGGCTCTGGGATTACAGGGACAAACAAATTTGGGGGGGGGGGTTGCTAGGAAGGCCGTGGAGGCTCACAGCCCTCGGGAGCCGAGTTGGGCTACTGGATGGAGGTTTTGGGCCATCAGGTTTTCCATCAGCAGAGAATCTTAACGGAAGGAAAGCCAGTTCTTGGATGGAGCTCCAAGTTCTTCTCCGCTGCCCTGGACATCCTCCGGAGCAGCCCCGGGGGAAACCAGAGGGAACCGGGCCTGTTTTGCAGTCGCCCATAGCTCTCCCTTCCCCCCCCCCCCCCCAGGTCTCCAGAGGAAAGAGGCGAGCCAAGAGCTTACCTGCAGAGCACACACACAAAGCAGTTTGGGTGGTAGGTCTTGCCCAGGGCGGAGATCACCTCGCCCTCAATGAACTCATCACAGCTGAAGCAGCGGGTGCCGTAGAGCCGCTGGTAGTCCGACGTGCAGACGTAATCCCCTTGCCTGACGAAGAAGCCCCCCTGGGCCAAGTCGCAGCCGCACGCTGCAATCAAAGCAGACCGGGGGCTTAAGCAGGAGGCCTCCGTCTCTGAGGCCCAGCGCCAGGCAGGGGGAGCTCCGGAGGAGGAACAGGCTGAATCTCGGACCATCTGGGGACAGGAGGCCAGAGGAGGTTCGACGGAGGGCACAAATGAACCCTCGGCTCTGGCCGGAAATCGTCGCTTCCCCCATTCTCTCCCCATTGGCTTGGGGAGGGGTGTCTTCAGGTGGCCAGGACCGGCTTCCAGCAGGTGTCAGTCAGGTGAAGAGCCTACAGGTGCCCTTCGCAAGCGTTGGTTGGGCTAGAAGACCTAGAACAGCGGCATCACCTGGCATATCGGGATTTCCCCCCCTTCGCTAAACGGGGCCTGTGCCTGGCCAGCACGTGACACATCCGACCCGCAGCCGTGAGTTTAACAGCCCTGCCTAGAAGGTCCCTTCCGACTCTACATTCTGCTAGGTGGCAAGTTGGATGGCCCAGGCATCGGTACCTTTTTTCACATTCGTATTTCATGATGATTTTAATTGAGGAGAAGGATTAATCGACAGCGTAAGCCCATGTATGTTATGCCCTTCGCTGCACCAATAAATTGCAACTGCAATCCCACCCCCCACCCCCCAGCTGTGCCGGGAGCCAACTGAGCACCAGAGGCCTGGACAGGACTAGATGCTTTCCTCAGAGCAGGAGAAGCAGCCGTGGGCTCGGCTCCTCACGCATTCGACACCAGGGTGTGGGCACCACAGGGGCGGAGTTTGCATCGGGGCAGCTGCTTTCACCACTGGTGCCACCACCACACAGGCCCCTCTGGCTGAGCCAGCCTCAAGGCTTCCTCCCCGCAGGGCCCCAGTAGGACAAAGCTTCAGGGAAGGCATGGATGGGAGGAAAACCTCCACTGACCCACAAACCCCCAAGGCCTTCAAGGGGGAAGAGGTCTCGCCTCCTGGGTGCTCGGCTGGGCCTCATGGGGCCACCAACCTCCGAAGGGCTTCTCCTTCTCCCCAGCGGTTCCCCCAGTGCCAGCAGTCCCGAGACACACACCTGTGCTGCCTGAAGAACTGCCTTGCCTGTTCTGAATGGGGGCCACGGCCTGCCCTGCCAAAGGGAGACCCTCTCCTTAAGGCGCCTCCCTTGTCAGAGCCAAAGCCAGCGGCTTGCATTGCACTCCCCCCACGCCCCACCCCCACCCCAGGCACTCCCACTGAACGGGAAGCCTGGGAGAGGCACTGGGGCTTCGCAGGCCAGCCCCTGCCAGGGCACGGCTCCTGCTGCTGTTCTCTGCAGTGCCCCTCCTGGTTGGCCCTCGGACAGCCGAGAGGAGGCGGGGGTCACCCTTATGCCGGCTTTCATCACCCAGCAACTGTTCCCAGCCGAGCCCGGGAGCCTCCCTCCCGCCCTACGCCAGGCTCTCCAGGGTGACATTCCGTTCTCTGGGAGGACCCTATTTATAGACTTGTCCGGGGGGGGGGGGATTTGCTCTGGGGCCCCCAACCCCTCCCACGCGACGGATGGCCTTGGGCTCACGGTGAGGTTAACCCTCAACCCTGCAGTCTCCCCCCTTGGCCACCACCCTGAACACGTCGCTCGCCTTCCTTTCCTATCCGACCCCTCCTTCCCCTGGAAGCCCCCAGGGCCATTTCTCCCAGGGCCAAAGGTCAGAGGCCACGAAGAGGAGGTTACTCTTCCGCTCAGGGCCCAATTAGCCCTACCCAGGTGAAAAAGAGGCCTCCCCCGGGGTGTCTCCTAGAGGGGAAATGGGGGAGATGCTGTTTCTAGGGGAAAGAAGGGGAGGGCGAAAAAGTCAAGATGGCAGCTGAATCCCCCTTGGTTTTTTGTTTTTTTTTACAGGTGATGCATGCAGGAATCACACCCTCACAGCCAACCTCTGGACGCTTCTGACCCAAACCCATGCAAACCCTCCCCCACCCGACTACACACTGGTCCCACGAGGCCTCCAAGCCTTATTTTGATCCTTATTTCTGAACAGAGGCTCAGAGAGCTGAATTATACCCCAGAGCTGAAACTTAACTGGGGGAAACACAATTTGCACGTGGAAAAATAGGACAGTCCAATTAGGGCGGGGCGAGTCTGTGCTGCTGGATTTTGATGGCCCCCTCTAATGGAATTGCCCTCTTTCTCCAGGTGCAAATTTCAGCAAACGTGCAGAAGTGCAAATTTCAGGGCGCAACATCTGGCCCCACTGTGGCAAAACGACAGAAAGGCTCAGGAGCGTTCAGTTCACTTCCCCACCACGCAGGTCATGGCACGTACCTTTGCAGACGAAACATTTAATGTGGAAGTACTTCTTCTGCACTCTCAGCACTTCTCCTTTGCACGGACTCCCACAGTTGTGGCAAAGGATGGCGGCTCCAGAGGGCGCCTCCAAATGGCTGTGCACAGCCTGTCGCTGGGAAGCTGTGGGAAAGGGAAACTGCCTTGATCAGAGGGTGGAGGCGGGTGGAAGAGGCTTCCCTGTTCCCTGCTTTCGCCCTTCTGCCGAAAGGAGGCGGCTGTGCTCCTGTCAGAACGGGGCTCTCCAACCGGTGGACTTCAACTCCCAGAATTCCCCAGCCAGCAAGAACCTTCCCTTGTTGGTTCTTGCTGGCTGGGGAATTCTGGGAGTTGTTTCTGCTTGAAAATAGGGCAAAAAGAGAGAGGAGAATTTAGGGAGCACAGACCACTCACTGACTCCACCCCCCCGGGAGACTCGAGTAAATCATAAAACGATCCAAAAAAACAAGGGAGAAGGACCGTTTCTGGAATGTTCAGGGTTGAGAGGACTTTGCACAAAGTTCATTTACCGCAGTACTTTCTTTAACTCAATAGTTATCATCAGATAATTTAGTTCTTTTTATGACCCAGTAATCCCTTTTTATTGGTGGGGGTCAGGGTAACTGAATGGAGCTGAGCATTTACTGGCCAGATGCCCTCCCTGACGCCCATGTGGAGTTCACAGCAGATATTTTTTTCTTTGCCCCCAGAGAGAAAAACATCAGTTGCCGCCAGGATTGAATTCTCAACCTCCCGAGTGGGAGGCGAGCATCTTCCCCTTTAGGCCACCAAACCCCTCTAGTTATCATCAGATAATTATCGTAAACGAATGAAGATCAATGAGATAATTTCCTACAGGGTAAAGTAAGGAATTTTATATGGAATAAAAAAGTGCAAAAAAATCAACCTTACTGAAGTGACTAGGAAAGAATTCCAGCAGTGGCTACGTATCAAACCCAACTCCAAGTCCAGATTCAAGTTTTGTGCTCCACTCTGGCGCTATGATGGGCCAGGAGCCCCTCTCTACTTGTCCCCTGTGATTATGGAGGTTCAGGTATGAGGCTGCTTGCTTGTGAACGTGCTCACACGCCCAGCAAGTTGCCTTCCTAGTCACGCTGGATCCTGGCGGATGCTTGAGCTGCGTCTCTCCTACCCATCCAGCCCTTCATCGGGTGGCTGCCCTCCTTGGGTGCAAATGCTGTGGATTCAGGCCCAGCAGGACCCCGGGGAGAGGATGTTCTTCTCCTGGGCTAAAAGGACGCTGGATATTATGCAGCAGAAAGTCACTTTACAGAGAACAGAAATGCTTAAAAATAGTTACCTTGGAGACTCAGCCTGCGTTTCAGAAAATGCCAGCAGATGTTCCTTATGCAGCAGCATTTGAGGAAAAGTTCTGTTGGTTAAGAAACATGTAGACAAGGAAAGTTTCCCTTCTAACTGGGCTACTAGAGGAAGAGAGGCAAGCTGGGGAGAGGGAAGCAAGCAGGAGGCAAAGAAATGGAAAGGCCCTCTGGCCCTTACGCAAACGGAGTCCTTCCGGTAACCAGAGACCGGCTGAAAGGCAAGACACCTGGATGGACAGAGGCAGGTGGTTCTCCCCTTGATTTACCTCCCAGCGGTGACCTTCGTGGCCCAAGCGGAGCAGAAGACGACCTTCCTCCTTCACCCCCACCCCCATGTTCTTGTCCTTTTGTCCGAGGCACCTGGAGCTCATCTCAGGGTCAGAGGATCAGCCACCAACGGCTTTTGGGCTCCCGTCCTGCAGACCGAGGCGCCTTCCTTTAGTCAATCCAGAACTCGGGCTGCTTGGCATCAGTGCGGTCCCCTCTTCACAGTCAGTCATTCATTCTTCCTGAGAGAACTGAATAGCACCTTTGTCTCTCCTAAAATGAGCACAATCTTGAGCTCAGTCACTCCAAAGATGGTAGCCAAAAATCAGCAAGAGGCTGGCAGCCCCTTTGCCGACTTCTAAAGGCAGAAGATTTCGTTCCGGCTGGCCCTCTAGTGATGTGTAAATAACTGGCCGGACAAAACCTATTCAGCCGGGGTTTCCTGCCGATTGATGCACTGATGTCCACTTGCAGAGTCTCCTCAGCTCAGTCTGAGTCCAGGTGGCCGGATGGTTCAGGTAGCTGCCGACTGGTGGGTTCCACTTTAACTCAATTCACCCTCTAGGAAGGAGTGAAGCCCCCTGCACAGCCTCTTGACTGCCGTCCAGTCTTTGTTGGGCTGGCACTTATTTTTCTCGTTCGGTTCTTGTGACCATCTCTGGTCTAGTCTGTGGTGCCTCCAGGAGCCCCCCAACTCTGGTTCTCTGGTTCCTGTTCCCAGCTTCCTTGTTCAATCTTCCCTTTGGAAATTTGGCCTCTTCAAGGATGGGGACTGGATGAGCCTCCAGGCACTCTAACCTCAATGTCTGTTTCCATTCAGGAGGTAACTTCTTTCTTCACCTCTTTCAGCCTCCAAAATCCCAAGAGGCTTTTCACCTGGATTCCTTTATTCAGAAGCTCTCCAATCTCCTTCCTCTTGTGGTCATCCTTGCATATAACTCTGTGCTTAGCTTCAGGGCCCAAGCGGGCTGGGCGAAGGGGCCTCGCTCCTAGTTAGGTGGGTGGCTGTGGATTTTCTTAGCTGCTTTTAATTTTTTCATATGAATCTGTTTTTATTTGTATAATAAAATAATTGGTCTCCTGCCCACAGTTGTCATTAAGATGAGCAGCTAAATGAATGGATTACTTTGGTCGCCACAATGTAAAAAAGAGGTTGAGACTCCAGAAAGAGGGCAGAGAAGAGCAACAAAGAGGATTAGAGGATTGGAGACTAAAAACATACGAAGAACTGGCCACTGGTTCCAGTTGCTGGAACTGGGCATGGCTACTTTAATGAAACGAAGAGTTAAGGGGGGGCATGATAAGAAAAGTTTCAATATCTGAGGGGTTGCCACAAGGAAGAGGCGGTCAGGCTGTTCTCCAAAGCAACTGAAACTTACCAAATTTGCAAATGACACTAAGCTGGCAGGAATAGCTAACACCCAAGAAGATAGGCTCAGGATCCAGATGGATCTTGACAGACTAGAACACTGGGCCGTATCTAACAAAATGAAATTCAATGTAGAGGAAAGTAAAGTCCTACACTTAGGCAAGAAAAACCAAAAGGACACATATAGACTGGGTGAAACCAGGCACAACAGCAGGAACTGTTAAGAGGGATCCTGGAGTCTTAGTGGACAACCAGTTAAATAGGAGCCAATAGCATGAGGCAGGAGCCCAAAAAAGCTAACGCAATCCTAAGTTGTATTAACAGAGGGATACAATCAAGATCAAGGGAAGTACTAATACCACTCTATAAAGCCTTAGTAAGGCCACACCTAGAGTCCTGCATCCAGTTTTGGTCACATTATAAAAAAGATGTTGAGATTCTAGAAAAACTACAAAGAGCAACCAGGATGATTAGAGGACTGGAGGCTGAAACATACAACGAACGGTTGCAGGAACTGGGCTTGGCTAGTCTAGTAAAGAGAAGGACCAGGGGAGACAGGAGAGCATCTTCCAATATTTGAGGGGCTGCCACAGGGAGGAGGAAGGGGTCAAGCTATTTTCTAAAGCACCTGAAGGCCAGACAAGGAAGAATGGATGGAAACTGATCCAGGAGAGATTCAACCTGGAAACAAGGAGAAACTTTCTGACAGTGAGAACAATCAACCAATGGAACAGAAATTGCCCTCGGAAGTTGTGGGAGCGCCATCACTTGAGACTTTCAAGAAGAGATTGGATTGCCATTTGTCAGAAATGGTGCAGGGTCTCCCGCTTGGGTGGTGGGTTGGATTAGATGACCTCTAAGGCCCCTTCCAACTCTGATTATCTGTTATCTGTCTGTTATGAACTGAAACTCATCAAGGAGAGAAGCAGCCTAGAACTAAGGAGGAATTTTCTGACAGTTAGAACAAGTAACCAGTGGAACAAGTTGCCTCCAGAAGTTGTGAATGTTCCAACACTGGAAATTTTAAAGAAGAGACTGGACAACCATTGGTCTGAAACGTTACAGGGTTTCCTGCCTGAGCAGGGGGTTGGACTAGAAGACCTCCAGGGTCCCTTCCAACTCTGTTATTCCGTTAAACAAATGAATGAATCAATAAAACAAACCACGGCATTATCTCCCTCTAATTCTTCCAAGGTCTTTGTGTCCAGATCTGGAACTTCCGTGCCTCTGGCTGCCACTGGCATTTCCACCCCAGCAGAAGGGATGGTTTCATCAGAGTCCTGGCCAGTTCCTGGGCCTCGTGCAATGCCAGACCTCTGCCCGGTGAGTCTCCTCTGGGAGACCCACCTTTGCCTTTCTCGGGGCAGGACGACCCAAGCGCTCAGCCTTTGTGGCTTCTTTCCCAAACTGACAACTTTTGAGCATTTCCCCAGGTCCCTGGATCTTATGCCCATTAAGCTGACTGGTATGGGGGGGGGGGAGGCGGGTTAGGTTTTGGCAATCGTCTGCCCCATACAAGAGCTGCCCTGGGGCAGGCAGGAGGGAACGGCGGAGGGAGAATTGACCCCTGGGGGAATCTGGTCTCTCTGCTGGCTCTGGCTCTGCTCTGCTCACTCGCCTTTTCATCCTCTGAGAGGCTGGTGGTACATGGGGGGGGGGGGGGGCTCGGGGGCCAGTTGCAGATCCCCGCCTTCTCCCCTTATAGCAGCCTGAGAGGGAGAAGCGCCCCTACGCGGGGACAGGGGGGGGGGGGACTAGCAGTGGGCCAAGCAGAAGGAAACCAGGCACAGCATGTGGAGACCTTCCTCTCCAAGGCTCCCCGGAGCAAAGGCCTCCAGCGCTCGGCTCCTGCCCAGAGGGGCCTGCTGTGGTCCAGGCAGGAGGCCGGGCAGCTGTGTAAACCCTGCAAATCAACCCCCCCACCTGCCCCCCCTCTTCGGAAGGCCAATGGCTCCAACACCCGACGAGGCCACAGGGAGAGATTCTGACCCACTTGCCCCCTTCCTCTTCTCTTGCCCGGCTCCTTTCCAGGGGGCCCCTGGCTCTGCTCAAGGCTAGGGAAGCCTCTCCTTTCCTTCGGGCATCCCCTCTTCCAGGCCTGGTGCTCTCCTCCCAAAGGGCTCCTGCTTCTCTGGGCCCTCAGGCCAGACCCTAACCCCGTTCAAGCGGAGGGGCCCTTTTCTCCTTGGGAAAGAAGGCCTGGGAGAGGCGTCCTGCGACCCTCTGCCCCACCAGGCCGAGGAATCGCCTTCAGCCAAGCGCCTCTCTCTGCCGAATCCCAGCGGACACCCCCCCCCCGGCTCTCCCCTCCTGCCCCCCGCTGCAGCCAGAACGAGGGGCGGCTGCTGGAAGGCAGCGCAGGGGCTGGGCCGGGTGGGGGGGGGTGGTCCTCCCGGGGGCAGAAGGCGGCCTTCCCTTTCCATTCTCCCGGTCAGGTTATCGGTCAGTGGCGGTCAGGGAGAGCTCCGGCGCCGTCCGCCTTCCTGCTGCTGCTGCTGCTGCTGCTATTATTAGCGGCCATTCCCGGCGCGGCGTTTGCCGCAGCCAAGCAGCCCGCAGCGGCATCGGGGCTCGAGGTGAGGCGCCGCGCAGCTCCGCTCTCCTAGGCCGAGGACCGCTCCGTCCTGAGGGATGCCGGGAGTTGTAGTCCAGGAGCCGCTGGAGGGCCACAGACGCCTCGCGCCCGCAAGACGGAGTCCCTCCCGGGCCGGGGATGGAGCTGCGGCGCTGGCCGGAGGGAAACGCCAAGTGGGGCGCTGGTTGCGGCCGGGCAGGGCGGTGGGGGGGGGGGGGGGCCGCAGAAGAGCAGACGGGCTTCCCATTACGCTGCGGCACCTGCTCCCCGCAACGCCCCGCCGGGAAGCGGCGCCCGGACAGACTCGCCCCCTCGCGGAGCCTCCCGAGCCCGGCCCGGTTCCATGGGGGGCGGGGAGGGGCAGCGGCCGGCGAGGGAGAGCGGGGTGCACCTGCCTCGCCTCCCCGGGGCCCCGGCGCTGCCGCTACCCGCCCTGCCGCTGCCCCCGGGCCCAGGACGGGCGCGGGCGGCGGGGGACGCCCTGCCTGTCTTCCCGGAGTGGCGGCGGCGGGGAACCGCAGTGGGATGTGGCCGCCCGGCCAGCCCCGCCCCGCGCTTACCTGCCATGCCCGAGCTCATCCTGCCCGGCTTGGGCCGCGCCGGGGCTACCCCTTGCGCCGGCCGGCGGGGCGCTCATCCCCCGGGCAACCTGTTGCGCGGCGGCGGCGACTCCTCTGCGGAGCTCTTGCGGGCTCCCGCCTCCTCCCTGCGGCTGGCCAGCCGGGCGCGCCGCGGCGCTTGTGCGCGGCTGCGGCTCCTCCGCGCTGTCGATCTCCGGCGCAGAAGGTGGGGCGAGCGGGCAGGCGGGCGGCGGCGGCGGCGGCGGGGCAAGGCGGGTCAGTGCCAGCAGTCAGCCGCGGTCATGCTCCGCCAAACACCGGCGCCTCTGCGGAGCTTCTGGGCTGGGCGCCAGCTGGACCCGCCGCAGACGGGAGCCCCCCCCCCACTCTCCCCCGCAGCCCCAGGCATAGAGCAGCGCCTCCCTGGCGGGGAAGGTGCGGGGCCAGGGGAGCCCCAGTCTGGGTCTGTGAGGGGGGACATTGCGGTGCCCCCCCCCCGTCCCGGGAGAAAGACCGCGCGTGGCTGGAGGGGGCGGCGGGGAAGCTCCCCGCGGGCTTCGCAGGGCGGGCGGGGCTCTGGGCGCAAGGGCGGAGGGGCTGCCGCGCCTCTCTTGAGGGGCGGCCAGGCGGGCTCTGTGAGGCGGACTGAGGGCAGCGCGGTCCGGGCTGAGAGCGGAGGCGGCTTTCGGAAGGCCCTTTGCCGGGCTCAGCCAGAGATCGCGGACGGGGAGAAACCGAGAGCGGCCCCGCCAGCCGCCCCCGGCCCGGGTCTCCAGGCTGCTCCGGCCCTCGGGGGAGACCCACTCCTGTGGAAACGGCCACGTGGGGCGTTCTCCCCCCCCCGCAAAAAAACGAGGGTGGAAGTAGGCCCGGATGCCTCGTTGGAGTAGCGAAGCCCCTCCGGCCCCCTCCGAAGAGACCCGGCGTCTCTCCCTCCCTGCCGCTCTGCTGCCCCCGGGGTTTTAGTGGCCTGGAGGGGTTGGGCCCGCCTGTCCCAGAGGTTGGGGGCTGGTTTGGGATTCCCCCCCCCTCCTGGCACCTGTGGGGGGGGGGCTCAGCTACCTGGGACCTTTTTTTAGGGCTCAGTCCTGGTTGGTGGTTAGTATTCAAATAATACAGAAACTCATCAAAAGGAAGAAAACCGCAGGTCTTAATATCAATGGGAACTACCACAGCAGTAAAGCTGTTATTATTATTTTCCCATAATTTATATAAAAAAAATAGTAGTCCTTGACTTACAGCTGTTCACTTAGCCACCATTTGAAGTTGTGACATTACCTTACGTCCCCCCAGTGATGTTACCCCATTTTGAGAGTGGGGGATCCGGGCTGCGTTTTGTGGGGGGGGGGGGGGCTTTTCCCGCATCATGGGGGTAACTGCATTACATGACAGTTTTGTCAAAAAACGGGGTTGTTTTTTTCCCCCCAGCAAAACCGGCTTATAAGGAACCCTTGGTTCGCTGAATGACTGTGGCCTTTTGCTTAACAACTCTGGTGGTTGCTTTAAACCACCTCAAAAAAGGTTGTAAAATCGGATTGGTGGCTGATTCGATTCAGGAGTTATGGCCGATGTGCATTGTGTTCACAATCCGAGGGCTCCTCAGAGTTGCAGAATGGAATTCTATGCGTTCCTGCTGTGTTTCTTCACCCAGGCAGAGGATTTCAGCTTCCCAAATTCCAGGGACTGAAGTCCAGAGTCTGAAAGTCACCAAGGTTGAGAAACTTTCCTACAAAAATGCAAAAAGAATAACAAACAGTCTAGTGGAGGCCACACTTCATCCCAATTCAAAAGGCCAGATAAAAATCCAATTGAAACATATCCAACCCTTTCAACAGTCAAGCACCACACTTCTTATTGCAGGGGGTGGAAAAAAGAATAGTTTCCCATTTCCTAAACCAATGTTCCTCGTGTCTTAATTATTTTTCATGTAGCACTCGAAGGTCTAAAGCAGGGGTGTCCAACCTTGGCAAAGCTGGCTGAGGAATTCTGGGAGTTGAAGTCCACAAGTCTTAAAGTTGTCAAGGTTGGACACCCCTGGTCTAAAGGGCGGCAAGTCACTCCTTGAGGAAGGATTCATGCACTTCATTTTTTGGCCTGAGAAGTCCAGAGCCCCCTCAAGCGTGCCCTCAAAGCCCCCCTCCACCATTTCTACACATACCATAAAAAAATTCAGTCTTGTGAGATCCATCGGGACCCTTTGACTCCTCACCCACCCTGACCGGTTCCTGTAAACGACAACATTATGGTCCTTAAATGAACTTGCTCACCAAATTAAACAAGAAAGGGGGAAAAAAGTAGAAATAACTCCCCTTTTACGACTCTCGTCCCTTAAGTACTTTGGGATAGAGTTGGGCGACTGGATGGAGCTGAGCACTTACTGGCCGGATGCCCTTCCTGACACCAGGTGGAGTTCATAGCAGATATTTCTTTCTTTGTGTTCGGGGGGGGGGAGGGGGAGAGAAATACCTGCCTCTACCTAGGATTGAACTCTCAACCTTCCCAATGAGAGGCTATCGGCTTCATCCCTAGGCCACCACGCTGCTCCAAAGAAGGTAGAAATGGAATATTTAAAATTAACAGGCAGCTGAATTCTTGCTGAGAAAAGCCCCAAATCCATATTTCGGCTTCGTCATCAGCTGGATTTTCTTATTCCGTTCCTGGGGCTTTCGTTGAGTTCTAGATTGAAGTCAAAAATGTCAGAATGGCAGAGCCACAACCACAGAATTGAAACCCGGTCTCTGTTTTCGGGGAGTGGTATAATTTTATTAAACACTTTATGAAAGAAACCAATTCAAATTGATATAAAAAGTGAAAAAAAAGGCAGAAGAAACCAAAGAGAAAGCTAAATAGGCAAGAAAAGGGAACAAGAAACAAATTATTTGTCTTCTCACCTTTCCTTGCAAATCCCTTTGGCGTCAACCGAGCTGGGCTTTCACTCGCTCCCCGGAAGGAATCCTTTGGTGGCGGTTTTCCATCTTGGGTCAGGGCCAGGACCGTAAAGGGAAGCTAGAGTTAAACTTCCAAATTTGCCCCGTCCTCACGGCTGTAAGGGTGGAGGAGCAGACGAAACACGGCTCCCTCTTCCATCCTCCCTACGGGAGGAGGATTCACACCCAGAGATGCCTCCCACGATCCCAGCTGCTGGTCTCAGAAACGACCCAGCTGCCTCCGGCAAATGACCGGACTTCCTTCAGGGACCTGGTGGGTGAGGTTCCCCAGTTGAGGGGGCCACAGGAGCGTGAAGGAGCCCAGGGCCTGATTAGTCAGTGGGATCCCTGCTTGGATGGGGGAGGAGGTACGGCCGGCTTCCTTGGCCACTTCTGCTTCTCAAAGAGGAGCCGTCAGAA